ATTGCATCGTGCATCACTTGCTTTGTATATTCTTTTATTATTATTATTATTACTACTATTTTACTTTATTTCAATTATTAAACTGCTTTATCTCAACCCACGAGTTTTCTCACTTTTACCCTTCCAATTCTCTCCCCTATCGCATTGGGGGGGAGTGAGCGAGCGGCTGGGTGGGGCTTAGTTGCAGGCTGAGGTTAAACCACGACATAGCCAAACAGAATAAATAATTTATTTGCAAATTTTACAAATTGGATGTTTTGATTAAACAGAATCTCTCGCAATTATAATTTGCAGAAATATTCTTATAGGGTATAATCATGTTTAAGGTACCATGATAAGATTTTTACTTTGTTCTTACAATAGTTATAAATCCAAATATCACTCTTTAAAATGTAATTTTATTGAAGAGTATGTAACTGGGTAGTCTTAAGATGAGTCACCTTTTGCTTCTATAGCTGTCATGGAAACTGGCAAGATGGAAAAATTTCAAAAAATTGAGAAGTGTAGCAGTATTTTAAAATTCATATACATGATCTTTATACTTGTAGAATAGTTTTTCTTAATAAGAACTAATAAGAACTTACCATTAGCGAATATAGGACAGCCTTTGCAAAAAGAAAGACAAACACTAGTGCATCTTGCTGATCTGTAAATTTAGTGGACTCAAAGGATCACTTCAAGTGCGTATGCATTTTCTATAACATATCCTGATCTATTTTAGTGGATCTTGTGTATTCACAGTAATTCTTGCCTGCTGCAACACTCCTGTTGCAACAATGTTTTGGGAGAGCTGATGTACAATTCAATTGCAAAAAGTAATTTAAGGTTTTTTTATCTGGAAAAAGTGCATGTTCAAGTCCTACCGGATAGTCCTACATGCTATAGGGTTGTTCCCTCTTAAAAGTTAACTCGCAGCTGACTTGGTCCTGAAGTTGAATGCATGCGAATACGGTTCTAGTGCCTAGATGGATCTGTGGCTTATTTTCTCTTCCAGGAGGCTTTCCGTGCCTCCTATTGAAGAAGAAAAATGATAGTGATCTCAGCAGTTGCTTCAGCATGAACTTCATTAGATATCATTAACTGTAGTGAAGCTATCTAATTCTTAGTTCTTTGTTTAAATGTCTGATACTTGGGTATAAAATGCCAATCTTGACACTGCAGCATGGGACCACTGTAGGAGTACACACTGAGAATTCTACTCAATTAACTGATTTTACACTCTCATCATTGCAATTCAGCAGTCAATTTTCTTTGGTTTTTTCTTTCTATTTTTACCTCTATTTTAAAAAAGATTTTGCTAAATACCAGCATATGACTTGCAAAGGTGGATTGGGGCTTTTTGTTTTTAATAAAGCTTTCAGAATCACAGGCCATACTTTGAGTCACTGCAAATAGGAGGTAGGAATGTAAATTTTAAAATAGAAAACTCCTCAAAAGTTGTTTGGTTTTTTTTTTTTTTTGGGGGGGAAGCTAAAAAAACCCCACAGTTACAGGCTTTGAAATATTACAGTCAATCTCTTTGGACAATGTGAAGAGATTTAGGAGCACAAATTACTTAACTGCAAAAGCAAAAAAAAAAACCAAACAAAAAACAACCCTCCCCAGCTATAATTTAATTTTTCAAACTCAAAAATTAGTCTGTATACTTTACAACAGCGCAGTTGTTACAGCTATCACCATGCTTTTAGTAATATGAACTTTATGGGAACTCACATCAAGTAATCTTAATCTGGAAAAAATGGCAAGATTTAATTCTTCCCTGTATTGAGAAAAGGCTTTGAAACGTTAGGAAGCATTCATTGCTATGTGAAGTAAAGCTATGGTGAGGGTGGGAACACACTGAAAAACATACTTCTCAATTTGAAGATAAAGAAAATAAACCCTGCCTACCCATCTGTAATGACAATTAACAAAACATGCTATCTTGTTTCCAAGCAATCTGTGCTGTGTGGATATTTGTTCTTTTTTATATGTTGCCATTAATTTTTTTCCATCTTTTTGTAATTTGGATTCCTAACAATTCTAAGAATTTTAGTATAAAGCTCAGAATCTCTAATTTATGGTTTGCTTGTTTATTTATTTAAATTATGATGTAGAATTCCTGGTTACTACTGTCTACTAAGTAAAGGGCTGCTGTTCCTCGTTCTTTGTTAACTAATGCTAGCTGTTCCCAAGGTCACCAACAGTGTACAGTGCTTTCTGGTCATCTTTCATCTGTCCAAGCTTAAAGTAATCTATTACTGTACAACATATGAGAGTATATAATTAAATTTCATGCATTTTTTTTCTTTTGTTAATCAACTTTACTTGGAATTCAGTTTTGAAGGATCCATTTCAAATACTGCTCTAGTTAAGTGTAACCATCTTTCTGATTGTTAAAATACACTTCAGAAAATGAGAAGGCTTTGAGGATCATTAAGAGAGCAGAAGTTTCAAGTGCTCATTAATGAAGGGCCATTCCTTCTGCCTCACTCTTACACATGCAGTAAATAGCTTGACAAATGCTCTCACCAAAGCTAATAATCCAGGATGATTATTAGAGAATGGAGTGGGGAAAAATAAGCTTCTATGATTGTGTATTCCATGATGACTCTGAGCCTATAATGAAAAAATACTTGTTACATCTGTTTAGTTTTACGGTAAAGTATTTTCTGTTAAATGATACTCTTCATGTTGAATCCATTCAGTACTAAAAACAGACCCTTTTTAGTCACTGGTATTCAAATCTTTATATGCTGACAGCACTTCTTTTTCAACCTAGGAAAGAATATCCATATGGTCTCAGATCTTCAAGATGTGAAAATGCATTTAAAAGACAACTTTGGAAATATACACTGAGGCTTAAGAAATAGGGAAAAAAAGTGGTTTTGTGATATTAGTTAGAGCTCTAAAGACGTATATTTATTACACGCTTCTACTAATAGGTTTCACTATGGATGCCAAAGAGCGTTTCTATAGTAACTAGTTAGGAATAGTGGGAAAATGGAAGAGAAGACTCCAAGGTTCTGAGCTTTCTTGGGATTCGTGTTGTTCTCCAGTAGTTCTCTCTAATTCTGATTAATTGATGCAGTTTTAAAATATGGTTTGGTTTTTTTATTTGCTATTTATTTATAACTATACCAGTATAGTGAAGAATGCTCTCAGATAGACTTTTTATTCATCAGAATGACTTCCTGAACACATCTGTATAGGAGGTAATAAAATGTTTGGACGCTGTCTAAACTGATTAATTACCTTATTATAAAACCTTAGACTTCAACAGAACCAGAAATGTAAATAAATAGAGTAGACCAGGTTATGCTTTCCTCTTAATTACACTGACTGCTTGCTAATCCAGATGAACCATTTGCAGTGCTTAATTTTAATCTGGTTTTAGTAATCATACATAAATTTATTCATGTGCATAATTGTACTGCTGTAGCTTTTTTCTCTGTAATTAGCTACACCATATATGTTTCCTGTGTCATTACCTGAATCAACATGTAAAGTATGCTGTATTTTTTACAGTAGCACTTTGATTCTCATTCAGGATAAATGGAAACAATTCAATTATAGTAACTGCCATCATATGTTTTTCCAACACATTTTTAAGGTGTTGTTTTAAAGGACTTTTCACACTTTCTTCAAGAATCTCTAGAATTTGGTTTGGAAAAGTAAGTGTAGACACAGGAAAGCTGATGGACTTTACTGTACCCAGTTTTTGAGTTTCTTCTATTTTATTCATCTTTGCCTATGCACAGATTCAGATCCCCTTCCAGCTCTCTTTATTTTTCTTCTTCCTGTCCTTCCTCTACTCATCTTTAAGTGCAAAATGCGTATTATATACAAGTATAACCTCCCCAGTGAGTTTTAATCAGTTTTTCTTCTCTGCACAGTCCCTTCAGAATGAGTATGTTCAGTACTAAAGCCTTGCTGCTTTGGTGAAACCTGCTGAGCTCTTAAAATCGAAGACCTTCATGAAGAAGACCTTGAGGAAGGAAGCTGCTCACTCAGAGGACGAATCTTCAATACAAGACATATTAAAACCTTAACACCAAGAGGAGACTTCTTAACAGGCAGAAATTTCTTGTTAATGACTACTGCAGATGCACTGATGTTGTACTAAAGCCTTGCTGCTTTGGTGAAACCTGCTGAGCTCTTAAAATCGAAGACCTTCATGAAGAAGACCTTGAGGAAGGAAGCTGCTCACTCAGAGGACGAATCTTCAATACAAGACATATTAAAACCTTAACACCAAGAGGAGACTTCTTAACAGGCAGAAATTTCTTGTTAATGACTACTGCAGATGCACTGATGTTGAATTTATGAAATTATTTTACGCTATGTTATATACAGATTTAAATTTTTAATGTTGAGACAGCTTGAATATATTTCTAATGAGTTTCACTAAGACATTTATTAACTTGTGTACAGTGTTAAAATATGTATTAAAAGAATATTTTGGTAAGCAATATATATATAAAAATTATGTAAAAACTAGAATATATTTTAATTTAGTGGTGTTCACTTTGCTACAAAAATGTGTATTTTAAAGAATTTTTACATGTTTATCAAAGATGAAAATTTTTTATGAACAAGATGTTCTTCTTGTTTTATGGGTCCATCATTATTCCTAAAAGCCTAATGTAATTACTTTTTCACTAATTGGTCTTCTGGTAACTTAATGGAAGTCTAACTAGTGAGAGACTAGTTATCACACTGTCAACTGAAAGCACTTGATACATAGCCTGCTTTCCACTTTCAGCTGCTAATGTTTCATAAGGAAATACTATGAAAGAAAAATAAAGGGAAAACACTTGTTGAGATGTAATGTAACTTACATCTTCAATTGCAAAGATAAAGTAATTTATCTGATGATTCAATTGTACAATTAATGCTTTCTTTCAATTTGTCTTAAAGGAATATTTTAACTTTTTTCTTTTCAATGTAGAGTGTTAAATTTTGCTATGCAATATATACTGAAAAAATGAAGGCAGACCAGACTTAAGTTGGTAAGAATGTGTATGTACAATGAATTTGGCAGTGCTGCATACTTACATGTTTTTAACCTACATTTGGCAGTATGTGTACAGTTTCATTAGCAAAGCATACTAAAGGAAATGTTGAAAGGAGATTAAATTTTCACTTACCAATTGGATGCTTCATAAACTTGTTAATCTGAAAACTATTGTTAAACATACAGCTGATGTAACCTCCTGTATCACAGAATGTTTTTGTCACTAGTAAAGATGCTCTTTAATGTATAGTTTAATCAGGTGTGATTAGGAATGAGACTTGGAATGAAGTGGTATTACAGTGAAGTATTAAAGATCACGTGTAAAAACTTTCAGAACTCCACAAGTGCATAGTAAGCAAAAAAACGTAAGCAGCTGTGAGGACTTGATTTGCCTCTAATTTAGAAGACAAAACCAAACCATATTTGTTACCTATAAGTTTTTCCGATACCTACGGAAACTTGAAAATAAAACTTGATTGAATTGTCAGTCTTTGTTCCTGAAGACCTGTGAATGCCCTGCATTTGCTTTACAACTGAAGTTAAGATAAAGTGCCACGTTATTTTTTAAAAAGATCAGATCACAGATTGCTATGGGAAGTTGTACTGAAAGTGTTAATAAGCAATACTGAGAGCAGCTATATAAATCACTGAATAAAATTTACATGCAATACTGTACTTTTTTCACAACTGTGTATATGTAACATATACACACACAAAGTAGCATATGTGTGCATATATATACAATATACTGTATACAAATTATAGATTAATGGTAAGGTAATTCTACCTCTTATAAAGAATTTTGTTATGTGCTTTGTTATAAATAGTTTTCCTTAATAAAATATTGTTTAATTTTGAAATGTAGATATATATATCTACATACAGCTAATTGATAATAAAATGCCTATATCAGCCATCTTCCTTGTTTCTTGGCTTTTCTTACTCAGATCTTTTGATGTAAACTAATATGAGTAGATCTCTAATTGAAGATTAGCTCTTCAAAAGCACCTTCTTTCTTCTAAAGCATATAATGTATTTGTAAGTAAGATGACATTGCAAAAAGACGTTAGTATGACAGCTATCTTTTATAACTGATCTCTCTAGCTAACCTTCTTGTATTTGCTTTGTATCACATCAAGTATTTAATCAACGTGTTGATATTACGATGTAAAGGTTATATTTCAAAATACCATAATTTAAAAGCTGTGTCTGAATTGAAGAAACTTTTTTTTTTTCCCCCCCCTGGACAAGGACCCTTGCTAAAGGTGTAATACACCTTGGCTTTTTTGCATGTGCAACAGGTTTCTTAGTCTCACTAACAGCAGGGTCTTTGTCCATAAGAACCTAAAAGATCATGCTTTCATTTAGCTTTTTAACCTTCCTTCAATTAAAAACTAGTCACAAATGGTTCTGATGTTGTTTAACTCTGCTGCTGATTTTCAGCAAATTTGTTGTGTTGCATGATTATTTATCCACAGTGCTTAATATTCCCGTCAGATAAGTCTGTACTGCAATAGATGGTGTGGACAGTATGTAGCTGTTACACAGCCACTCTAAAGGAATGGCAAAGCCAGGATTAGAGTGGATGCTTTAGAAGTTGCCCAAATTCTAGTAACAGTCTAATCTAAAAACACAATAAAAGGCTTCTGCCACTACATTCAGACAATTAATTGATGTTGAGTTGGATGTGTAAATATAAAGGAAGTTTCTAGTATGTAGGCATCAACCTTTCCCTTAGCCTTTTTCTAGACTTAACTTCTATTGATTTGTTATGTGAAATACAGTAAATGCCAGCTAATGTGCAACATTCTTCGTTCTTAAAAATGAATGATAAATATAGCCAGTATTCTGTAACAATCAGCTTCTTAACAACAACAACAAATTTGGGGACGGTGAAAGGTCAGGGAGGGTCTTTAGAACCTTGTCGCCTTTAAGAAATACCCTGAAACTTGTTTCGTATCCTCTGTTCTCTTATCCTTGAATTTTACCATTTCCGTTGCTTCATATATAAATATATCTCCTTGTTCTGGGAGAACAGGCTGTAGCACATGAGATCTTTAAAAAGAGGTTTGATAAACATGTAAGGATGGATTAAATAAATCGAGAGGTCTCTACTGGGCTTACGATTCTGTGGCTAATGCCTTATGAAACTGTTAAAGCATACTTTAAAGAGATGATTATGAAGCTTTTTGGTTAGGGAGGTATTTCTTGCTACAGATTTAGAGAATAGTTTTCAATTACAGTACTGCAGAAAGAGGAGGATTTTAGTTTCTATAATAACTGTTCTCTACTGACAGCTAAACAATGAAAGGCCTCAAAAGGTTTGACACTTGATTAGATCTACACTGTAAAGTGCAGCAGGCAAAAAATATGGTAATTAAGGGCCTGATCCAAGTAAATCACTCAGGTTATGTCTTTAACCTTAAGCACATGAGCAATCTAATTAATTAAAAAAGAACATAGATATTCACGTTTGTAACAAATCCACATTCGGATCAATAGTCCTGTCAACTGCAAACATGAGCCTTTCTGTCAAATAAAAGATGTGCTACGTTGCAACAAAATAATCCATTGACCCACGCACATTAACTTCATTATCTTAAAAGAATGTATATTGTAACTGTAATTACATCCTAATATATTATTTTGGTATTGTCATTTGTTAGCATTGCGAGTTTAATAATATCTAAAAATACCTTATAAAGATATTTTTGGTCAATATACAGGTCATACCTTACGAGCTGAGATTGCTTACTTCTGTAGCCCACATATAACCCACCTGTAAAAGCAGCATTTCTCCTGAACTCACCACAAAATTAATCAGCACTCGTTTTCTGGAAAGCTTTTGAGAGGAAATGTAAGTTTTTACTCAGTTTCTTATTAAATCTTGGCCAAGGTAAGGACAGTTCACATTTTGTCCGTTTGAGCAAAGCACTGTAGAGTTCCTGGGAGAATCCCACTCCTAACTCTTCTCCTTTTGGGAAGGGACTGTTAAGCCCTACTTTTCAACCAGCTTTTAGTGCACCTGTCATTCACCTCTGTGGGAACTTGTGCTCTGAATTAATTTTGGTGCGAGACCGTTTCAAATGCTACGCTGATTCTGTTTTATCTGTGTACTTACTGTCATCAGCATTCACCTCTGGCAGGTTGGTGATGCAGGATTTCCTGCGGGCTGAGACAGGCTGAGTTTTATGAAGAAATGTAGAATATGTAAATTGAGGACCAGCTTCCTCAAATAAGAAGTACTGTCTTACCAAGGATCTGTGTATCTGTCGTGTTTGAAAGATTTAATTTGGAAAGTATATTGTTGTTATAGACCAGTTCTAAAATTAACTTTAAGCTTGCAGAAGCATAGTGCGCTTTCTCTTAACAAAAATAAGATCAGTAAAAATCAGTTTGAGTATCTAGCAGAGGAGTTTCTGCAGTAAATGGATTGTATTTCAGACAGAAGTGACTGATACTAGTTTGAAAGCTGGCTGCAAGTGGAAGTTGTGTAAATGGGTTAGAACCAGGAAACTGGTAAGGCAAAGAGAAAAGAGTCAGACTGTAGTTGCAGTATTTCTGGAGCATGATAGGGTTTGGGTTTTTTTTTTTTTTCTTCTTGATTTAACAAGTTGAAAATCTGCTGAATAATTCATGAAGAGTGGAAGGGCTGAATCTTCCTGGAATGATATACAGTGTACGTACTGTGGCACAGGAGAAACTGCAAAGCTTTGTATCAGTTGCTGTCGTTTCTGCTGCTGATTGCAAGGTGCTGCTGCTTTTGGCATTTTCACAGCTACAGATTCCTCAGCTGTGCTCTGGTCTGCTAACAGCTATCTGCTCCCTATGGACCCACCTTCGCTAGCTACAATCTGTGGGATCTCTTGCCACCTGCCTGCCTCGGACACTGCTGTTCTCTGGATCGTTACTGCGAACTGCGTTTTCTGGACCTTGCAGCTTGTATGACTGAAACCTGCCTTAGAGTCCCTCGGCTGCACCTCCTCCCTTGTGCTTGGTGGGGGACTCCCAGAGCAGGATCTTCTGACCCAGACAAGGATGGGATTTACAGGGAGAAGTCAAAACTGAGCTGCATTCAGCGAGATGCCCAACGCCTCTTCCTGGAGTGCTAGCTCGCCTCTGCTGCTGCTCTGGGAGGACTCCTCCGGGACCCGCATCTTCCTGTCGCTGCTCTACGCAGTCTTAGCTATCTCAGGGACTTTATCCAATGTAATGGTCATCTATTTAGTCTTCTCCTTCAAGAAGCTGCAGACAACCAGTAACGCCTTCATTGTGAACGGCTGTGCGGCAGACCTAAGCGTGTGTGCCCTGTGGATGCCCCAGGAGGCTGTGCTGGGGCTGCTGCCTCCCAACTCCTCCTCCCTTCGCTCGGCAGAGTACCGGCTGCTCCGAGGGGGGCTCCTCAGCCTCGGCCTCACCGTCTCCCTGGCCTCTCACCTGCTGGTGGCCTTCAACAGGTACGTGCTTATCACCAAGCTGCCCAGCGTGTACCAGGCCCTCTACCAGCGGAGGCACACGGGCTGCATGATCGGGCTCTCCTGGGCCCTCGCCCTGCTCCTGGTCCCGCTGCTGCCTGGGCTCTGGACCCCGCGCTCTGCCCAGCAGCCGCCCCCGCGGCAGACGGACGGCAGCTCTCGCTACACCGCCCTGCTCCTCGCCCTGGCCGTGCTGGGCCAGACCGCGCTGCTGCTCCACTGCTACCTCGGCATCGTGCGGCGAGTGCGGGGCAGCGCCAACGCCGCCCCGCCGCCC